ATATATATATATATATATATATACATATATATATATATATACATATATATATATATATATTTATACCGGAGCAACAGTATACCCGAGACCCTAACTACCTAGAGGTCCACAGTGATGATCTGAAAGTTTTAATCAATGATTGTACCTCCAAGAACAAAAATGAGATTTAACTTTGAATATTATTAGTTTCAAGTCTCGAAGATAATGATGCACCTGCATATAGCGATAACTTCGTAGCTTAGTGTTTAACTTCATTGCTGAGCTTGGCAACTGGAATGCTAGGATATCCTCGCCGACAGAGACATTTTCAATACATTCCGGTCGGTTCTTTTGACAGAAGAAAGCAACGTGAAAAATATACACTTGGTATGAAAATTCAACATCTGATTGAAAAGAGCTAATAAATTCCACTCTCATTGGTGTTTAAATGAGGGTGTGAAATCAGTGCCAACGCTATTGTTGTGCTATCCGTTGGGTAAACGTCTGATTCAGGTCGGCGACCGAGTGCCGATAACGATATCAATAAAAACAACAATCCTGATTTAAAATCGGAAGAATGAATTATGAGGACAGCCTGAATGATCCCGAAAGGGGTAATATTTTAAGAAAGACAAGGAGAAGGAAAGGGCTGATAGAAAAACTGGAAAGCACACTGAAATCGTACATAATTAGATCTGTCGCCACCTGAGTTGTCAAAATAGGTACGAACCTGGTAGTGATTGATTAGTCGTTCTAATTCCCGCAATTTAGCCGTGCAAGAACGAAAATCGCTCGTATTGTTCACCGTGATTTCGTGTTCCAATTCTGGGATGACTGCTGCCGTCGTCCAGCCCTGAGTGTTGGCCACGTCCTAAAAATGAGAAGCGCAACACGGAAGTGAAGTTAGGTGAGAAAAAAGAGGAGGGGGGAGTGAGAGGGCAGTTTGATGGCTAGACGAAATAGAATGAAGAAACAACGTGTTTAAATGCGATAGAAATGCGTACGATAACTGACAAAGAGCAGTGGACAGCTGTTTCGTCCTATTTGGGACTCGTCAGCTGTGTGTACTTCTGACAGGGACACAAAAAATACGCACCGCTGGCGAGTCCCAAACAGGACGAAACAAGTGTCTAGTGCTCTTTGTCGGTTATCACAAACATTTCCATCGCATTTAAATGCACTCAATTAGTGGGGAATTAACGATCTCCCAAGGAGTGAAGCCCACACCCAAGATCATCAATAGTGCCTGATGCCTGTGAAAAACTGAATGGGATAACCAAAATATTCACCGTGTAAAGAAACAATGGAGCTAGATGCACATCGAGTGGACTGGCGGGGGAAGATATAGTGCACAGTATTCGATTCTATATAACCAACCAATGCGGTGGATCACAAATATTAACGATAATACCATTTGCTTTTACTTCTATTTTTGTTTGTTGAGTATACAAATGTGCAGTCAACTTTCAGGAATGCTGGTTCAAATATAGAGTCAATTTTGCGACAGTAATCACTGGTTAATTGGTTTTGCTGATTTTCATCAAGGAGAGAAATCACATTCATTGGGTGTTAATCCGACTCGCCAGCCCCGTTGTTATATCAGATCACTACGGGTGAGTGTTACGCGTTCCCACGAGAAACAAGTGGTGGCATTCAGTCTCCTACAAGATCACGTGGATGGAATGAATTCGGTCACTGTCTCTCTAAAAACAAACAATACGTCCGTCGAGTAATTCAAAGACTCAATACTTTCACTAAAGCTAGCAAATAACGATCCGTGCAACGAGGCATGATCATGACGTTTATGAGCATTTTGGGACGATAAGGTATATTGATTTTTAGGTCAAACGATTCAGGAAGAAGTTCACCATGTGCCTCTGTTTTATCAATCGAGTGCGAAATTAGTGATCAGGGAGGGCCCTAAGTTTTCCAAAGTTATCTTTACGTATTGTTAGAAATAAGGCCGTTTTTCTGTTTGTAAAAGGTACTAAATTTCACCTGTGAAGAAACTCGCACGGGTCTGTTTAGTTGATTGTTAGATGGATAACTTACCGCTAAATCAGAATACACATGGTCACCGAAATAGAGGATGTTTTGTGGATTCCAATTTTTCAAAGCTCTCAACTCGCCAAGGCTTCCCTGAAAGAGGAAAAGGGAACAAATCGTAATGGATTTCAAAAGGGGAAAAAATCGCTCCTAAAAAAGAAGAGGCTATGATACAAAATTACTTTGATGAGCACTATCCTGGGCTAAAATAAACCGATCAGTTAATATACAGGAATCAGTAAACCATTGTGAGAACAGATTAACAAAGGTGTGTGTCCACTTTCCACCGACAGACATTGGTCAGTATATCATCGGTGTCATTTTATTTTTTTCTCTCTTTCAGATCCGTAAACTGATACTTACTTAAGGAACTCTCCAGCTCCCTTGGTCAGACCTATATTTTCCCTTTTGCTTTTCGCGTGGTATGCACAGTATACATACCATACATACCATGGAAGATCTACATTGAATAAACAATTGTATAGTACAATCACGTAACAGTTAATCTCCTGTTCCCCCCTTTCTGTGTGCCTGACCTAAAAAATGCACTGGCGATTTTTTTGACGAAGACTTTTCTCCAAAATTCAACTTGAAGTTGGAAGCATACTGTGTGATAGTTCATTTTTGTCGTTACTGAGTTACATCTCCACCTCATTTGACAATTAGAAGTCATCCAGAACTAAACGTAGTAAAATTAGGCGAAAGATAATTTACAATTGTTCATAAATTCATGCACCGAATAAAATTACTCCTGATGTTTTTGCTATGGCAGTAGAAGCGATAACGGTGCGTCAGATCACATCAACCCCTAGAGTCCGGCAATTTTCTCCAGCAGATGAAAGTGTGATAAAATGGATCAACTTAAAAGGTAGGATTCAGCAATACTCACCCCATCGTAAATATGTCCGCGATGTAATGCTTTCACTCCTTCCCAATTCTTGAAACTGCCCAACTCATCCATATGTCGAAATTGGCTGAAAATGAAGGAGATCGGGAAAGAAACAGAAAAAGGGAAGATACACTTTAGTTCATCAAAAATGAAAATAACAAAGACAAACAAATCTTTTTAATAAAAAGAGCTACAAAATGAATACTGGAGATTACGTTAAACGTCAGGACAAAATCCACGAGTGAGAAATGCTTTTCTCAAACAACTCAGGCAAATTGAATTAAACTACACAAACAGAAAAAAAAGTTTGACACTGTTCAGTGAAAAACTTCCTTAATGAGCGAATTGAGGAAGCAACCGGATACCGGAATATTGAGGACGAAGAACAGCTTGAGCTAGTGGAGGAGAATTCGGTGAGACTTGGAAGCAAGAGAACAGTGGGCAGGATTTCTATCTGAGGCACTACTGTTAGTAAAGTTGTCTGAAGCTCCCGACGAAATTGAATGTTTGTGAGACCGGTGGGATCGGAAATGCAGGAAGATGTGTACAGCGTAGACTTGTTCATAGCCATAGGGCACGGTATTGTATATGGTTTGTATGATGCAAGAAAGTTGGCAGTTACCTAGTTAAATAAAATGGGAGAAAAACTGACAGTTGAAACGGAGTATGTCTATTGTTTGTTATCACATGGATTTCATATACCGAAATCACCTTCTGCATTGAATGCCTAATCAAATGCATTAAGATAATTGATAGCTGTTCGGTTTTATTGACGGAATAGGTGGTAAGTAAAATTTTTATAAATGTCAACAGAGACGTGAGACACCAGGGAACTAAATAAAAGCTCGCTATTCGCTCACACTTGACTGTAAAGACGGAAAAATATTAACAAAATGGATGGATTCTGTACACTTTCTCTTCAATAAACTAAACTAATAAATGAAGAAATTAATCACTGAAAATCAATGGGATGAGAGCACGTTACTTGGAATCATGCTGAAAAAATCCCGGTTTATTTGCTCGCGAAATGATCACATCGAAGAGTTCTCGCCATTCCTCACCGATCAAGAAACGAAGTCCCCGATCACTATGAAAATAGTTAAGAAAGAAAAGATCGATAAGTTTAAAAGGACAAACTCCATCCAGCACACCGAAAATACATATGACAATCGGGAGGTTATGGGTGGCGTTATAATCGCTACTGACATTTACAGTCCTGGAAGTGTGATGAACTATGGGGAACATAGTTTGAAGCTAGCAGTTTGAAGGGATGACTCACATGAAGGCGGCTGAGCTGTTGGATATCACGAATAGCTTCTTTCCATTGGCAACCAACTTGTTCAAAAAGTTAGAGAGATTGGGATCTTTGTGGATATACTTCTCTGCAAAGAAGGATGGGTCAATGCAGGGGATCAGATGACGGATGGGCTCATGCACTTTTATACCAAACAGGGAGGCAGACAAGGGATGTCAATGTGCATAAAAGTGACCATTGGATCGGTCATTTCAGTCGATCTAACAAATTTGGCAGCTTTCGAAACATCGGAGATGCATCCAGGTTATTTCGTTGCTGTTTTTTCTACTCACAAATTGTCAGTAGATGGAGTGCAATCGCGAAAACTGGGCCACCAGAATGTAGAATGAGCACATGCACAAGAAAGAACTTCATTCAAAACAGACTTACCGGGATTGCCCATGATGCTCAGTCCCAAAAGACCGGATTTGTGCACACGGGCTACAGAGGACTGGAGAAAAGAAAAAATATGTTAACGTTGTTTGACTAACGATCATACAGCAAGTAGAATAAAGAGACAAGAATACACGTTAATCGGTGATGCACAAAACAAGTTGATCTCATTTCTTCCAGCAGGAGCTATTCTTTAAGTATTCAAGATATTGGTAAATTGCATGGAGTGCACAAAGTTAGAAACTTCTTAGGTGCTCGTAGGCTTTTAAAATTAATTAGTTGTAAGGACATTGGAAACTGACTTATTCAAAGTAACGTGATACTCATCGTGATCACGGGCATCACATCACACCTATCAATGCCACTGCACATAGAACATGCATTTTTCTCCACCGACATGTGACAAGAGGTAGCGTAAGGGTTATTATTCATGAAAGTATTATGGTTACTCAAATGGATTGCTACGTTGTACGATCCACAATTTGAGGGTATGTAGAAGCGATTGCCATCAACCAACGGAACCCCCCTCCACGATTGTGTTAACAAAAAAGAACTATTCGTTAGTTTGTACTCACCCTGGTGGCACGGTTTTTCTACCTCTCCCCCTTTTATGTTTGTGTTTTACTGTACTTTACTACTGCGTTTCCAAGCTAAACTCCTATATAAATACTGTGTTTTCAGTAGTACGCACTATGTTGGGATGCAGCGAAATCGTCCAGGACATAAATCGTGCAGTACTGCGATATGGTCTTTTCTTTTGTAGTTTAGGTCGAACGACAATGTAGTTGTCTCAACATATCAAAGAACACAATCCACGCTGGCTCACATATGGTATGAATGGACCAGTGTCAAGCTACATTGTTGCTCACGTTGCGAATAGCTCAACCGTCGACCGCAAGCTTGTATTTTAATAATGAGAGTCGAGTGTGTGCGATAGGTCACGTTTAGTCGTTCGTTTCGAAGGTGCAGATTATGACTGACACGCGTACTTCAAAGGATCAGTCCAAACAGCAAGCAAGCAACCGATTGTTATATCACTATTCACACCGGTTAATTTGGGGCTGTCATCACATGCAACAGAATTTGCAGACGTGCCACTGAAACAACACACAAGAAAATATTTCTAACCGTGGCTTGTCCACTGCAACGGAGCTCGTGGTATGACAAAAAGTAAGCATAAATTGCGACATCTTCGGGTGCGGACTTACAGTGACATCTTGAAACACGTGTATGGCCTGATAATTGATATGCTTGCGTTCAAAGAACTATAAAATGAAAGGACACGTTGTTTGGTTTCGGTTTTTAGTATAATAACACTGAAAATGAGTGGAAAGATGGATAGAGTAAAAGTAAAAAGCCAAATGAACAAACAGACGATGCGAAATGAACTGCATTTACTTACAGTGTCAAAAAAACAGAGGAGCTTGTGACGCAATGGGCGACCGAAACCGGCCAGATACAGACTGACGTATGACAAAATACCAGGAGGAACTATCACACCTGGACATATGCAAGTGGATAGACTGCTTTTAGTAACTGATGTTCGGGACACGATTAACGACTGTGTTGTTCGAACCAAATTCAGCATATATAAAACGATTTTTAGCTCCCGTCGTGATTACTTCACGGGATTCTTGATATATATATATATATATATATATATATATATATGGAGATAATGCAAAAAGTTAATCGGACGATGTGGTACGGTATTTGAAATAAAGAAAAGAAATTGATGAAACAAAGCTTTCACTAAGTGGGAAAGGCGGACTTAGACTTTCATGTTACAGTCTAACACAATATATTCGAACGGATATTTATCCTGTCGAACTGTTTTCTGATAATACCTGACGGCGGTTATTCGAAAACAACCGTGGTGAACTTTGTAGAGTAATAATCATCCAGCAAAACGTCACGACAACATCAATAATCTTCAAAAAGTAGAATTCTTCGGGTTCTGTTACATAACACTGGACGCTTAACCGAGGCATATACGATGCCATAAAAAGTACTTTCTTGAGCAAGCTCATAAGGTACCAAATTTTAAATTCATTCGTCACCAGCTATGACTGCTTATGGAACAGTAAAGTCACAGAATTACACACTAATTGCGCTTGATACAATCTCATGGAGCTCATGAAACACCTCGGCGGAATAACAACAAAAGTTAAAAAGATGTGCGTCAGGGCACAATGTCCGTCAAGACAACTCGAGGTATACGGATTCGGGTTGAATAGGAAACCCATGAGATCATCGAAACATCAACCGGAGTGATTCACAAAGTAACCAGCATCCATAACGAATCGAAACAACAACCTCGTTTCGCCATTCTTGTTCAATGTCTTCCAAGGCGATATATTGCAGAAAGGAATCAAGTGGTCTAAAATTTGTGGGTATTGAATATACCATTAGGCGATTCAGAGTAAGTTGACAATATCGCCTGTTTTGTTCCACTCTATGGAGGACGTGTTAAAAGCAAATCTGACAGACTATGTAGTTCCGTAATTCAATTTGGCATGCGCTTTGCATCTTCAAAGGATAAATCTCTCCAACAACACTGGGTGTTGTCTATGATATCGGCTATGATGCTCGATTTTCAGGAATATATGTATGTAGTCTGTCAGATGTCTCATCTAGGCAATGACGGTAGCACAGCAAAGAGGGTAACCACCCGTATTTCCAAGGCAAGAGCAGCGTATAATGAACTGAAGCACCTTTGACACCGACGTGATGTTTCCTTGAAACTGAAAGGTAGCGCATACTGCACCACTATGGTCAGTTCTACTTCACGGTTGCGAGACTCTAAATTTGCGGGTACAGAATTTTTCGACTGTTGATGTTTACCTAATTTGGCGCAGATTAGATGGAGCAAGCAGGCAAGTAACACCGACGAATCTTTGAGAATGAATCGGTGGAGAATCCCCTATCACATCGATTTCAGACTAGCAGGCTTTGCTGGTTAAGATATACATTGCGAATGCCCGACTGCCGTTTGTCGCACGTTATTCGCTGTTTCTGCTTTAAGTTCTTGGAATATACGTGATGAAGCATGAAGGAATGCATAGCGTGATTTGGTTGGGGTCAAGAAAAAATCTGGAACGGTTGGGGCGCAGACACTGAAGAACATGGCAGCGAACGGACAACAGTGGCGTTTTTGTTGTCACTGCTTATCACGCCAGAATACTTGATAAGATGTATATCTAGTTAGACTGTGTAGTGTGCTAACCATAGAGCGTTAGCTTTCTTCATCCTCTCTTAATACACGTTCCCCAATCCTGCTTACTGTTGATTTAATACGGTTGTTGTTGTTGCAAGCTCAGCTCACTTGACTGCCCTACATATTATGTCTGTCCTTATAGTTACACACTATCCATGTCCATACCCTTTCTAATGTTATATACTTTCATGTGTTGATTTGCCATCGTATTGGCGAGATCGGTCAACACTTTGTTCAAACCGAATTAGCGAATGGGACCGCACCTGCGGATGCAGCCTTGTACCGTTATGTTAGTTGACGTCCGGACACCGCCACCATCACTCGGATTCTGACATCCTATTGGATGATTGTATGCAAGGTCACCAGTCGTCCCCTCTTTCCCCTGTTCCTCTCTGGTCTTCTTCGTGACGCACGCATTGAACTCTGCGTCACTCACCGCTGCTCTCTGTAGACCTTGTGCTTTCCCTGCTTTATCTACCTGGCTTCTTTACAGCAACGTTGCTGTCAGCCACTGTTACCCGATTCTGCCCATTACTGCCGTATGGCTACAACTGGTCGCATATTTCATTACATTTTGTAATAATGTTTCTGTTATTAACAAATGATCGTCAACTGCCTATCTACATTCTTACTGCTCGCTGCCCATTGATGAAGAATAATCGTACACAGAGATCAACTTGACCAATGTATATTAACCGTTATTTCGATTTGACTGCGTTAGGCAGTGCAGCCCATTATGTTGTAGTGTTGTGTAGAATTCTACACTTGCTATTTTGAACGCATTGTGAGCTTGGAAGCGATCAGCTATGTTCGCTACGTTGTATTTCGCTGTACTTTGATGACAACAGTCTCGTGGATAGCTTTGGTCTCGGGATAATTCTAAATTACGGTTGAACCAAGTCCCCTTTGCCCTACCGGTCAAGTCACGTCTTTTAAGCAAAACGACATTGGTGCGATAGAGAATAACGTTCAATGTGTTCAACAACGGGGTAATGAGATACTCGGAACAGACATGAACTACACAGAGAGACTTACTTCAATAACGCAACTGAGAAGATAGAACTCGGGAAGCATAAAGAAGTCCATAATCTGAAACATGCCCGGGTTCTGTCAAAAGGGAAACAATGAACAGCGGCCGTGTTAGATGAAACTCAGGTGTCGGAACAAACGACGTTAGGGCGGAGATCGTTCGAATCCGTTGGAGATGGGAAACCTCATCGAAACCTTCCCGAGTGCACTCCAACTCACAAAAATGAATCAGGAAACGAACTAGCAGTAAAACAGAGAGCTAAGCTACAAAAATTATGAAACAATCTATTATTAAAAACTTTTGGAGGCACCGAACGGGATGTTGTAATCTGATTGGCAACGCCGCGCTTATTGCC